AGTGTCGAAGTGCCGAACCGAACTGAAGTGCTGAAGTTCCGAAGTTCCTAATTGCCGAAGTTTAGAATTTTGGAATGCCAAACCGAACTGAAACTTTTCACCATGCACATCCCTAGTTTTAATCCAAAAGGTTTCCCGTTGTAATAACAATCTGGATCTATCTCCCCACCTCAGTAGGGGTGGTATATGATCAATCGTCATGACTTTAAATGTAAGGAGTCTATGATTTAGCTCCAAAAAATGTTTTGCTACAGGTTTATCCGTCAAATCTGCTCCTACATAATAGAGACAGCAGGGGCATGAAATCAGATAAATACCATGATCCGTAAAACATGTAATCCGGTGTTGAATTTGATATATTTTGCCTGAATGTGGATGTGCCAATGAAGGACGTGTCAACATATGCCCACAGGTTACACAACCTGTGCACTTAAAACAACCTTTCTTGATAACTAATATATTGGTCTGGATCAGGGCCGGCCTGTTCATTGGCAGCAGTGGAGCAACAGCTCCAGGCGGCACTTTCACAGGGGTGGCATTTTGTTGCCCCTGTACACTGTAAAGTGCCTGCTGTGTGGCCTGGGCCGCCTATGCATATATTTATATATATATATATATATAGCAATTACCGCTATATATATGCACTTCTGGGCCCCCGCTACCTTGTCCTATGGAGAGGGGGCCCAGTGAGCTGATCTTCCTCCTGCAGCTTCAAGTCTTCTGGTCTCGTAACACAGTGAGAGTGCGATGCCACGGGTTGCGATGGCAACGCTCAGGCGTGCATTACATAGCAACACACAGCTCGCGAGAGCAGAAGACATGAAGCTGCAGGAGGAAGAACAGATCACAAGACATTGCAAAATTTGCCACCGGACCACCATGGAAACTAGTGTCCCCCTCCTTGAGTCAAGCAAAGTGATGCACTTAGCATGTCTCTTTTTGGGTATGGGTTTTGCATGAAATAAAAGATAAAAAAGAACTTGCTCAGGAAATTTCACATATTTCTGTATGATCTCAAGAATTTCACAGAAGCCTTTTTGGTTCGATTTAGACAAATAGTTGCAGTAAATATCCTTTGTAATTTGTTTCTGAATTTGAAACGGGTTGAGTAGAATACGAGTAATGAAAATTTTCCAAGAGATCAATAATATTTGGGATTGTTAAAAGCATGAGTGGCATTTGAGGACACCATGTACCAGGAGTGGGGTTTGAACCCACGCGGACATTTGTCCATTGGATCTTAAGTCCAACACTTTAAGCTATTCACGGCGGAGGGGGAGGAGGAGTCAGGATTCAGACTCTTTATGATGGATCTATTTTCTAAGACTGTTAATGTTTCTCTTTATAGAGCAAAACATGACTAGTTCAAGAAATAAAATTAAAGGGGAGCTGTCACTTCTCCTAAATTGACGCATTTAAATAAGGCATTGAAAATCACCACTAACTTGTGTAAACCATTTTCTATGTATGAAATGCTCTCTTTACTTTTAAGTGCATAATAAAGAGTTAGCAAATGACATCATAATCTACTTCAGACTAGGCAAAGCCAGGGATAGCATTGCTAGTGTAGAGGAGAAAGGGAAACAGTGTTTCATCAATCCACTTCTGTGTATGTCCAGTCTATGCTGAATGCCAGGAGGAAAGGATTCAATTTTGGAAGGGAGCATTGATGGAGGTACCTGGTTACGGGAGAAAGGGTTATGGATTTCTTCATTTACCTTTCTTTTTCATGCCTTACAAATAGATGTTTGTCAAATCTAGTGATAAGTAGTAAAAATAATAGTGAAAATCCTAAAAATTACCAGTATCCCTTTAGATTTGGTGTGAATATCTAGCAGGGCAATTAAAATTTCAATTATTTTGCATTACAGACCTGTCTCTTACTGTGTTGAATACAGAGTAATATGATGCTGTCAAGCAAAGTGATGCACTTAGCATGTCTCTTTTTGGGTATGGGTTTTGGCATGAAATAAAAGATAAAATAGAACTTGCTCAGGAAATTTCACATATTTCTGTATGATCTCAAGAATTTCACAGAAGCCTTTTTGGTTCGATTTAAACAAATAGTTGCAGCAAATATCCTTTGTAATTTGTTTCTGAATTTGAAACGGGTTGAGTAGAATACGAGTAATGAAAATTTTCCAAGAGATCAATAATATTTGGGATTGTTAAAAGCATGAGTTTCATTTGTGGACACCATGTACCAGGAGTGGGGTTTGAACCCACGCGGACATTTGTCCATTGGATCTTAAGTCCAACGCCTTAACCACTCGGCCATCCTGGTGCTACACTTTAAACTATTCACGGCGGAGGGGGAGGAGGAGTCAGGATTCAGACTCTTTATGATGGATCTATTTTCTAAGACCGTTAATGTTTATCTTTATAGAGCAAAACATGACTAGTTCAAGAAATAAAATTAAAGGGGAGCTGTCACTTCTCCTAAATTGACGCATTTAAATGAGGCATTGAAAATCACCACTAACTTGTGTAAACCGTTTTCTATGTATGAAATGCTCTCTTTACTTTTAAGTGCATAATAAAGAGTTAGCAAATGACATCATAATCTACTTCAGACTAGGCAAAGCCAGGGATAGCATTGCTAATGAAGAGGAGAAAGGGAAACAGTGTTTCATCAATCCACTTCTGTGTATGTCCAGTCTATGCTGAATGCCAGGAGGAAAGGATTCAATTTTGGAAGGGAGCATTGATGGAGGTACCTGGTTACGGGACAAAGAGTTATGGATTTCTTCATTTACTTTTCTTTTTCATGCCTTACAAATAGATGTTTGTCAAATCTAGGGATAAGTAGTAAAAATAATAGTGAAAATCCTAAAAATTACCAGTTTCCCTTTAGATTTGGTGTGAATATCTAGCAGGGCAATTAAAATTTCAATTCTTTAGCATTACAGACCTGTCTCTTACTGTGTTGAATTCAGAGTAATATGATGCTGTCAAGCAAAGTAATGCACTTAGCATGTCTCTTTTTGGGTATGGGTTTTGGCATGAAATAAAAGATAAAATAGAACTTGCTCAGAAAATTTCACATATTTCTGTATGATATCAAGAATTTCACATAAGCCTTTTTGGTTCGATCTAAACAAATAGTTGCAGCAAGTATCCTTTGTAATTTGTTTCTGAATTTGAAACGGGTTGAGTAGAATACGAGTAATGAAAATTTTCCAAGAGATCAATAATATTTGGGATTGTTAAAAGCATGAGTTTCATTTGTGGACACCATGTACCAGGAGTGGGGTTTGAACCCACGCGGACATTTGTCCATTGGATCTTAATTCCAACGCCTTAACCACTCGGCCATCCTGGTGCTACACTTAAACTGTTCACGGCGGAGGGGGAGGAGGAGTCAGGATTCAGACTCTTTATGATGGATCTATTTTCTAAGACCGTTAATGTTTCTCTTTATAGAGCAAAACATGACTAGTTCAAGAAATAAAATTAAAGGGGAGCTGTCACTTCTCCTAAATTGACGCATTTAAATGAGACATTGAAAATCACCACTAACTTGTGTAAACCGTTTTCTATGTATGATATGCTCTCTTTACTTTTAAGTGCATAATAAAGAGTTAGCAAATGACATCATAATCTACTTCAGACTAGGCAAAGCCAGGGATAGCATTGCTAATGTAGAGGAGAAAGGGAAACAGTGTTTCATCAATCCACTTCTGTGTATGTCCAGTCTATGCTGAATGCCAGGAGGAAAGGATTCAATTTTGGAAGGGAGCATTGATGGAGGTACCTGGTTACTGGAGAAAGGGTTATGGATTTCTTCATTTACCTTTCTTTTTCATACCTTACAAATAGATGTTTGTCAAATCTAGGGATAAGTAGTAAAAATAATAGTGAAAATCCTAAAAATTACCAGTTTCCCTTTAGATTTGGTGTGAATATCTAGCAGGGCAATTAAAATTTCAATTCTTTAGCATTACAGACCTGTCTCTTACTGTGTTGAATTCAGAGTAATATGATGCTGTCAAGCAAAGTGATGCACTTAGCATGTCTCTTTTTGGTATGGGTTTTGGCATGAAATAAAAGATAAAATAGAACTTGCTCAGGAAATTTCACATATTTCTGTATGATCTCAAGAATTTCACAGAATCCTTTTTGGTTCGATTTAGACAAATAGTTGCAGCAAATATCCTTTGTAATTTGTTTCTGAATTTGAAACGGGTTGAGTAGAATACGAGTAATTAAAATTTTCCGGGGGCGGAGCCTGGCCTTGGTACGAGATGGCTGCTTAGCTCTGTGGCTCTCTCTCCCCTGTAATAGAATCCGCCAACATCAGCGGCCTTAGGCACCCCCTTTTCGCACAACACGGCTCACCCAACTTGCCTGACGCTAGTGAACCACTTGGGCATGGGTGGCCCCAAGAAAAAGAAGGAGAACAATCCATCGGTGGCCTCGTTGTTCAGCTCACAAAATACTCCCCGGCGGCCATCTTGTCGCGGGAGCATGGAGGGCTCTGGCCCTGATTCACCCCCTGAACCAGACGACAATCCGCTGACCAAGCGAGACCTGCAGGCACTCCTGTTGGATGCCACAGCGGACATCAAAGCCCACACGGCGACTGAGCTGGAGAGGCACGTCCGTGCTTTGAAGACCGACATAGAGGCCCTGTCCCGCCGCACTCATCAGGCGGAGACCCGTCTGACAGCCCTAGCGGAGACCTCCAGCTCTCACTCCCAAGATCTCACTTACCTGCACGGTAAAATCGCGACTCTGGAGGAGGAGCTGGAGGATCTGAATAACCGTTCACAGCGCAACAATATTCGGGTCCGGGGGCTCCCAGAGACGGTGACACACGAAGCCCTACACAGCACCATCACCGACCTTTTCCGCTCCCTGCTACCTGAGGCATCGGAGGGGGACCTGGCAATGGACCGAGTGCACCGGGCTCTCAGAGCACCAACCTTGAATCCGGATACCCCGAGAGACGTCATTGCCCGCATGCACCGGTTCCCTATAAAGGAACAGCTCTTGCAAAAAGCGCGGCAACATCCGCCATCATACCGGAACCGAAATCTGGCCTTCTTTCACGACTTGGCACCCTCGACCCTTAAGAAGAGGAGAGACCTCCGGCAACTCACAACCACACTTGCCCATTATGGCATTAAATACATGTGGGGTCATCCGTTCAAGTTGGTGGTCCGTAAAGATGATCAGACCTTCATATTGAGCAGCGCTTCGGAGATGGCCCCCTTCGCGGCTTCCCTGGGTCTAGAGCTTTTACCACCACCCGTGCAGAGGATGGCGGGAATGGGGAGAGGACCGGGATCTGCGGCAGACGGAGCAGACAACGGGCCGCGACGCACACCGAGGAAGAGGATGTCGGAGGTGGAGCGGAGCCCCAGAAGACAACCACGGCAAATGCAGAATTAGAAGGAGGGAGTTTCACCCTGGAGGGTCGCGCAGTCGGCGCGACACGTTGGGACTCTGCTGCTCTTTTGATCAATCTGTACAAACTGTGAGCACCTGGGGAGGGTTGGGGGGGGGATGGGGGTTAGGGTGGGTTATAGGTAACAGGAGCACTAGGTAGACGGCCAGGTGAAGGGCACGGGGGCTGGTAGGGATAGGGGGACTTACCTTGCAGAGGAGTGGAGAGGGGGCCTGTCAGGGGGGCCTCGGGCGGGATAAGAGGGGTACGGCCAGCAGACTGCGGGTGAGAGAAGAAAGCCTAGAAACCATGCTCAGTGGGCGCAATAACGGAAGGAATAGAGAGATAGGCTAGGAGAGGGTTGCAGCGACGGGGGAGTCCTGGAGGGAGGAGAGGTTAGAGTACATTGTTTAGTGTTTGGGGGGGGGTAGGGGGGCAGCTTCAAACTATAACCACATGGGTAGGATATGCGGGGCACTCTTCTCATCCCACCACACACACCATAGGAGTAACGGAATGGGAGGGTACGGGATGGACATCACACAGAGACAGAACCTAGGGGGTTGGGAGCACCATCGGGATTGAGGGGAACCGACCTATGAGACAGGTATGAGCAGATCCCAAGACGGGGACACATAGGGGGACACGGGAGTGCATAGGGGTCTTCACATTCACGAACAGACAGAAGGGGGGAAAACAGATACGGGAAGGAAAGGAACAGAATGTAAGAGGGGGAGGAAGAGGAGGGGGAGGGTGGGAAAAGTGGACTCACGGACTCTTGCAAATGAACTTCTCTGCATGGCAAAAGAAGAGTGAACTCTGGGGGGGGGAGTCAACTACGGGGATAGCAGGATGTTGGACTACGGGGGGGGCTGGAAGGGGGGGAAGGGAGGGATGGACGGGTCATGTAGCCGACTGGCCGGGTACGGTAGAGGTCCCCCACGGGAAGACGGGAACATCCCCCAAGACCCACTGGACTTGGCCCTAGTGCGCACGCAGGGAAAACAGGCCTTTCTGAAAAGATCCTAGAAGAGGCACACAGTTTGGGACTGACGAAGCGCAGCATAGAACTCCTGACAGCTTTAGGGTGACCTTCCTTGGATTACCCGGCACCTAGGGTGCCGGTCCTGGACACGCAGCACTACATACTGCAATAGATAGCGTTACCAAATGTTCTCCATACCATATAAACTCGTGCCAGGCACTTCCAGTAGGCGCCTTACAGGGGGGAAGAGGCCGATGGTAGCGGTACATCTTTCCCCCCACACTCACACTCACATTCTTCGAGACCCCAACTCGGGGCAGTTACACACCACATATCCCCACTAGGCCCTTCCGCCTCTGTGGCCTGGCATTCCTCTGTTAAGCCCAGGCCTCTCCTTATTCCCCACCCTTTTTTTTATTTTTATTTTTTCTCCCTAGCTCGCCTCTCCCCCCTTCTACTGACCCAGGCGGGTGGCATTGGTTCATCCCCCCCTCGCTTGCCGGCTGGTTTGCGTCATGCCCCTGGGGGTCCAGGACAATCCGAACAATTGGGGACCTACTGCAGAGAGGGCCCCGCTTCGACTTAACTGTGTCTCAATAAACTGTAAGGGTTTGAATAACCCAGCTAAGCGGCATCGGGTCCTTCGGTGGGCCAGCAGGACCGGGGCAGATGTCGTCCTCCTCCAGGAGACTCATTTCGAGCAATCCAGGGCGTTCCCCTTACGCAATCGACACTTCACAGAATACCACTTAGCGAACTCGCCTTTGGGCAAGCAAAATGGGGTTGCTGTTCTAATCCGTGGGTCATGCCCCATTCACTTGACGAACACAGTTGCAGACCCCCTTGGGAGATATCTGACAGTAGCGGGTCACCTGGGCTCACATAAATACGCCATCACGTCGGTTTATGCCCCCACGACCCCATCAACTCAGTTCTGGGAAACCCTACAGGCTCACCTGAACCTCTTCCCATCTCACCACATTATCCTGGGTGGGGACTTTAATGCGGTCTCGGCCCCAGATCAAGACAGGAAGAAACAAGCCCAGAGGGACTCTCTCCACCCACCGGTGGCGAAATCAGATAAACTCCTGCAGTCCTTCCTGGCGAGATCGGGGTTGGTAGACGTCTGGCGACTGCAACACCCCCTCACAGTAGATTTCACTTTTTTTTCTCACCCCCACAACTCGTACTCACGAATAGATATGTTCCTGACATCCCCGTCCCTAATCCCGCTGGTACACAAAACCTCCATCGGGCAGATATCACCCTTTCGGTCCAACTTCCCCAGGCGAGCAGACAGTGGCACTGGAGGTTAAACCCCACACTCCTCCATGTTCCCCACATACAAGATAGTGTCCGGCAATCCATACAATCTTTCTTCGCCACCAATAAAGGGTCGGTAGACTCGGATGGCATGTTGTGGGCGGCCCACAAGGCGGTAATCCGAGGCACGCTAATTGCGGAGGGGACAGCACACAAAAAACGGAAGCTGACGCAGTTGTCATTTCACCTTTCTGAGCTTAGACGCTTAGAACACTTACATAAACTTACTCCCACCCCGGACCTCACTACTCAGCTCCAGACCCATAGACAAGCCATACAAGCATTCATGGCCCGGGACTCAAAGAAAGCGCTCCTATGGACCAAACAATTGTTCTATGAGAAATCCAATAAAGCGGATTCTCTGTTGGCGCACTGTCTGCGGCGTAAATCGTTACGCAAACGCATAGCCTCGATTAGGGCCCCGGACGGACACCAACATGACGACCCAACTCAGATAGCGGAGATATTCAATCGGTTTTATGCTCACCTCTATGACCATAGCCCTAGGACTGGACAGGACCCTCATGCCTCTGAACTAACCGCGGCACGCTTTTTGAGTGATATACCCCTCCCACAGCTCACGGCTACTGCCAGAGAGGCGCTTGACGCCCCCGTTTCCATAGAGGAGATAGCAGAGATGCTTAAGTCCCTACGCCCCAATAAATGCCCGGGCCCGGATGGGTTTTCGGGCTTATACTATAAAACGTTCTCGGCAGACCTCCTCCCGCACCTTAAGGATCTGTTCACCTCAATTGGGAGGGGGGAAGCCCTGCCCCCAGACTTGTTGCAGGCAAATATAAGTCTGATACCAAAACCGAATCAGGCCCACCAGAGCCCGGACATTTTCGGCCCATTTCGCTTCTCAATGTGGATATCAAACTATTCACTAAGCTTCTCGCAAATCGGCTACAACCCCACCTTCCGAGGTTGATCCACCCAGACCAGGTGGGTTTCATCCAACATAGACAGGCCAGTGACAATACCAGACGTACATATGACCTGATCTGGGCAGCCACACGTAAAGGGTCCCCCACGTTACTGCTTTCCCTGGACGCCGAAAAGGCGTTTGACCGCATTTTATGGCCCTACCTATTTGCAACGCTAGCAAAATTTGGATTTCCTGACCGGTTCTTGACGACGATTCGTAATTTGTACTCCCACCCGACCGCGCGAGTATTGCTACCGAACACCTCGCCACCCTCCTTTGCCATACACAACGGTACGCGGCAGGGATGCCCTCTGTCCCCTCTACTGTTCGCCCTCTCCCTTGAGCCTCTTCTCCAACAGATTAGGCTTAACCCGGCCATAAAGGGTATTCGGATACGCAAAGAAGAGTACAAGGTCGCGGCTTATGCCGATGATCTGTTATTGACCCTGACGGACCCGGAGGCATCCCTGCCCCCTCTGCTGGACCTCATGGCAGAGTACGCTGAGATTTCGGGATATAAACTGAATCTAGAAAAGACAGAGGCGCTGGGGATCCAGCTCCCGCAAGCTCTGGAGGGAACCTTGCGGGCCCGGTATCCGTTCCACTTCCGGCCGGATTGCATCAAGTATCTGGGGGTGTTTCTTCCCGCGGACCTGAACTTGACTTATCGACTGAATTACCACCCGCTAATAGACCAGACTAAGAAAGACCTGACGGACTGGCAAAAACTGTCCATTTCCTGGCTGGGTAGAATAGCCTCGGTTAAAATGACCCTTCTCCCTCGTTTTCTATATTTGTTCCAAACACTGCCGATTCCGATCTCGAGACCCGATTTTAAAGCTTTGCAAACACAGATAGATAGGTTTATTTGGGGGGGGAAGAGGATCCGGATCAAAAGAACCACTCTTTATATCCCACACAGGAGGGGGGGCCTAGGCTTACCGAATCTGTGGGATTACCACCAGGCTGCCCAGTTGGCGCAAGTCCTGATGCTTCACGCACCGGTGGGGATCAAGATCTGGGTCGATCTGGAACATGACCTCTTTGGGAGAGACCACCCATCGTTATATTTTTGGGTGCCGAAACCTCACCGTTCGGAGTTACCCCACACCACGCCGGCCCTGCGGACGTCTTTGCAGGTGTGGGATAGAGTCAACGGTAAAAACCCCCTTATCAATACGCCCTCACCGCTCACCCCAGTTCTGCGGAACCCGCAATTTCCCCCAGGTATGACACCTCAACATTTTGCCCGCTTCGAAGATAATAACCTCATCAGACTTTGCCATTTCTTCCAGGGTGATCGCCTGCTCCTATTTGCAGACCTACCGCAATCTACCCCTCTCAACTCTTTTGATTATTTCCGCTATCTCCAGTTACGGAGTTTTTTGTCCATTCCGGACATCAGAATGGCAGCCACAAAACAGCTTACACCTTTCGAGAAAATGAGTATGCACACACCGGTAAGGAGAGGTCAGATATCCATTCTTTACGATATCTTTGCTAGAAACACCCCTCCGGAGGCCTTTTCTTACGTGAGGGAGTGGGAGAGGGACATGGGCCCACCGGCCGATCCATCAGACTGGGCAGAAATTTGGGAGGCAACGGCATCAGTTACGATCTGTGTGAACCACAAGGAGCAGGCGTATAAGACCCTGCTCAGATGGTATGTTACCCCCCTCAAGCTCAAACAGATGCGACAATCGACCTCTGACCGGTGCTGGAAGGGTTGTGGGGCCCAGGGTACGTACTTCCACATGTGGTGGGAATGCGAGCATATTTCAGCATTGTGGAAGGGAGTAGCTGACGTCGCCTCCAGAGCCTTACAAACGGCTCTCCCACTGGATCCGTGGATATGGTTGCTGTCCAAACCCCTAGATGCACTACATAGGGCACAGAATAAACTAGTGGCAAAAATAGCCCTCGCTACACGACGGGCCATTGCAGCACACTGGGGGAGGATGGAAATCCCAACTCTATCAGAGGTACGACGGAAAATAGAGGAGTCCAAGGAGATGGATGAGCTATCTGCCCTGGTCCATGAGACGACAGCATCGGTAGGGAAGGTCTGGAGCCCCTGGGGCAATGTGTAGCGCAGGAGAGGGAGGGGAGAGAGGACGGAGGAGGGTTCCTTCTCGACGCAAGAATTTTTGAGCACGGCCCCACATAATAGACACGCCTCCTACACACACGCTGATAGATTACACGCACCTAGTACAGGGGAGATGTTACACTGATATGTAGAATCCCACGTACCCCCCGTGTTTTTTTTTTTTTTGTTTTTTTTTGTGTTTTGGCTATGTCTAGGCGAGGATAGGCCTTATATCCCATGTTAGCTCCAGTTGAGCTTTACCCTTAATGTTCAGACACGATAAGTCTCCGATGACCTCAATTTCCAGTAACGACACTGACTTAGGCCATAGGCTGTACAAGCCCAGAGACGCAGCTCAAAACTTTTACCGCACCTACTCCCTCTAGAGGGGACGAGACAGTCGCCTCCCTCGACGGTCCAATCAAGAGCAGAGAGACTACAGCTTAGGGGGATAAAGATAGCCTGGGAATGAGGTCCACGGGACAACGCTATTCTTTTCATAATGTTGTACCCCCTTCCCATATTTTCTTCTTTCTGTACCCCATATACAATGCTAAAATTCTCAAAATAAAGAATTTATAAAAAAAAAAAAATTTTCCAAGAGCTGTCACTTCTCCTAAATTGACGCATTTAAATGAGGCATTGAAAATCACCACTAACTTGTGTAAACCGTTTTCTATGTATGAAATGCTCTCTTTACTTTTAAGTGCATAATAAAGAGTTAGCAAATGACATCATAATCTACTTCAGACTAGGCAAAGCCAGGGATAGCATTGCTAGTGTAGAGGAGAAAGGGAAACCGTGTTTCATCAATCCACTTCTGTGTATGTCCAGTCTATGCTGAATGCCAGGAGGAAAGGATTCAATTTTGGAAGGGAGCATTGATGGAGGTACCTGGTTACGGGAGAAAGGGTTATGGATTTCTTCATTTACCTTTCTTTTTCATGCCTTACAAATAGATGTTTGTCAAATCTAGGGATAAGTAGTAAAAATAATAGTGAAATGCTCTCTTTACTTTTAAGTGCATAATAAAGAGTTAGCAAATGACATCATAATCTACTTCAGACTAGGCAAAGCCAGGGATAGCATTGCTAGTGTAGAGGAGAAAGGGAAACCGTGTTTCATCAATCCACTTCTGTGTATGTCCAGTCTATGCTGAATGCCAGGAGGAAAGGATTCAATTTTGGAAGGGAGCATTGATGGAGGTACCTGGTTACGGGAGAAAGGGTTATGGATTTCTTCATTTACCTTTCTTTTTCATGCCTTACAAATAGATGTTTGTCAAATCTAGGGATAAGTAGTAAAAATAATAGTGAAAATCCTAAAAATTACCAGTTTCCCTTTAGATTTGGTGTGAATATCTAGCAGGGCAATTAAAATTTCAATTCTTTAGCATTACAGACCTGTCTCTTACTGTGTTGAATTCAGAGTAATATGATGCTGTCAAGCAAAGTGATGCACTTAGCATGTCTCTTTTTGGGTATGGGTTTTGGCATGAAATAAAAGATAAAATAGAACTTGCTCAGGAAATTTCACATATTTCTGTATGATCTCAAGAATTTCACAGAAGCCTTTTTGGTTCGATTTAGACAAATAGTTGCAGCAAATATCCTTTGTAATTTGTTTCTGAATTTGAAACGGGTTGAGTAGAATACGAGTAATGAAAATTTTCCAAGAGATCAATAATATTTGGGATTGTTAAAAGCATGAGTGTCATTTGAGGACACCATGTACCAGGAGTGGGGTTTGAACCCACGCGGACATTTGTCCATTGGATCTTAAGTCCAACGCCTTAACCACTCGGCCATCCTGGTGCTACACTTTAAACTATTCACGGCGGAGGGGGAGGAGGAGTCAGGATTCAGACTCTTTATGATGGATCTATTTTCTAAGACCGTTAATGTTTCTCTTTATAGAGCAAAACATGACTAGTTCAAGAAATAAAATTAAAGGGGAGCTGTCACTTCTCCTAAATTGACGCATTTAAATGAGGCATTGAAAATCACCACTAACTTGTGTAAACCGTTTTCTATGTATGAAATGCTCTCTTTACTTTTAAGTGCATAATAAAGAGTTAGCAAATGACATCATAATCTACTTCAGACTAGGCAAAGCCAGGGATAGCATTGCTAGTGTAGAGGAGAAAGGGAAACAGTGTTTCATCAATCCACTTCTGTGTATGTCCAGTCTATGCTGAATGCCAGGAGGAAAGGATTCAATTTTGGAAGGGAGCATTGATGGAGGTACCTGGTTACGGGAGAAAGGGTTATGGATTTCTTCATTTACCTTTCTTTTTCATGCCTTACAAATAGATGTTTGTCAAATCTAGGGATAAGTAGTAAAAATAATAGTGAAAATCCTAAAAATTACCAGTTTCCCTTTAGATTTGGTGTGAATATCTAGCAGGGCAATTAAAATTTCAATTCTTTAGCATTACAGACCTGTCTCTTACTGTGTTGAATTCAGAGTAATATGATGCTGTCAAGCAAAGTGATGCACTTAGCATGTCTCTTTTTGGGTATGGGTTTTGGCATGAAATAAAAGATAAAATAGAACTTGCTCAGGAAATTTCACATATTTCTGTATGATCTCAAGAATTTCACAGAAGCCTTTTTGGTTCGATTTAGACAAATAGTTGCAGCAAATATCCTTTGTAATTTGTTTCTGAATTTGAAACGGGTTGAGTAGAATACGAGTAATTAAAATTTTCCAAGAGATCAATAATATTTGGGATTGTTAAAAGCATGAGTTTCATTTGTGGACACCATGTACCAGGAGTAGGGTTTGAACCCACGCGGACATTTGTCCATTGGATCTTAAGTCCAACGCCTTAACCACTCGGCCATCCTGGTGCTACACTTTAAACTATTCACGGCGGAGGGGGAGGAGGAGTCAGGATTCAGACTCTTTATGATGGATCTATTTTCTAAGACCGTTAATGTTTCTCTTTATAGAGCAAAACATGACTAGTTCAAGAAATAAAATTAAAGGGGAGCTGTCACTTCTCCTAAATTGACGCATTTAAATGAGGCATTGAAAATCACCACTAACTTGTGTAAACCGTTTTCTATGTATGAAATGCTCTCTTTACTTTTAAGTGCATAATAAAGAGTTAGCAAATTACATCATAATCTACTTCAGACTAGGCAAAGCCAGGGATAGCATTGCTAATGTAGAGGAGAAAGGGAAACAGTGTTTCATCAATCCACTTCTGTGTATGTCCAGTCTATGCTGAATGCCAGGAGGAAAGGATTCAATTTTGGAAGGGAGCATTGATGGAGGTACCTGGTTACGGGAGAAAGGGTTATGGATTTCTTCATTTACCTTTCTTTTTCATGCCTTACAAATAGATGTTTGTCAAATCTAGGGATAAGTAGTAAAAATAATAGTGAAAATCCTAAAAATTACCAGTTTCCCTTTAGATTTGGTGTGAATATCTAGCAGGGCAATTAAAATTTCAATTCTTTAGCATTACAGACCTGTCTCTTACTGTGTTGAATTCAGAGTAATATGATGCTGTCAAGCAAAGTGATGCACTTAGCATGTCTCTTTTTGGGTATGGGTTTTGGCATGAAATAAAAGATAAAATAGA